GTTATAGGCCTAGGCCTAGTTAGCTTCTCTATGCCTAGGCTTAGAGAAGCTAGCTAGGCCTAGATATAACTAAACTAGCCTAGGCACTATGCATATCATTATGCATACGCCAGAGCTCCTTTCAGTTTTATGAACCAAGAAAGGGCTAGCACAGTTAATAAAAAAAGTGTTTTTTTTTTGTTTTTTTTTTTTATGTTGACTTTTTTTATAGTTAAAATATGGAGCTGTCAAAGATATATTACTTTTTATGTAAACACATTTTATTTAATTTACTACTATTAATATTAATATTTAAATTTCACTCATAGAAGCAATGTTTAGCATTAACAGTATTATCATGGAGGAAATAATTTCCCTACATGGTACCATGGAGAAATTAATTGATGTAAAGTGAAAGGTCCTGATTAATTTTATATAAGGAAGTGTAATGCATACTTTTACTTTGTGTTGGGATTCAATATTCACTAATTTTGTTATCAGGAATGATAACATAGTGTCAGAATGTTGCATTATGCATTATACTTTTTAAATTTATTTTACTGGTTCAGTTGTTGACAATCTATGTTTTTATTATCTCAACAGTCAATTCATTTGTGGAACTGACAAAGAAGCTGTTGGAATTGCCTGATGTTGACTGTATATTGAGCGCAAAATTCAACCAAGATCCTCTTGAACAATATTTCAGCAAGCAACGAGGGGCTGGAGGACACAATACAAATCCCACCGCTTTGCAGTTCGGTCACAATATGCAGGCATTGTATGTGGCATCCCATTGTGCCAATGCGTCTAAGAGAGGCAACTGCCGAAGTCTCACCGATAATGAGAAGACATTGGATGACACACCACTTCAAAGAAGGAAGTTGCACCAAACTTGAAGTCGGCAGAAGACAAAATTTTCAAACCAAATGGTTCTTATCAGAACCAAAAAAAAAAGAGATTTGAATTAAGGTTTTGCCATTAGTAGTGTCCATTATTTTGTATTTTCATCAACACATTATATACATAACTACACTGCAAACAAATAATGTGTTCACATATTTATTCAAAAACATGTTACAAACAAATATATATATATGTTTCAGTCAAATACTATATATGTTTCAGTTAATTGTAGCAAAGACTGAATTACTGCCAAACTAAAATTTATAATTAAATTACTACACTTTATTAATTTATTCACTTATATTCAAAAACATGTTACAAACAAAATTCAGTATATTATGTTTCAGTCAGTTAATTGCAGCAAAGACCAAATTACTGCCAAACTTAAAATTTAATAATTAATTTTTTACACTCAATGAATTATTCTGATATGGAAAATAATAAACATGTTAAAAAAATTCTTTGGTAAATTCATTAGTCATCTGCAGCAAGATATAAATGTATGCCCTCAAAATTTAAGTGTTTAACTCCTTTCTGAGAGACTTTTCACCTTTCTTTGATAGTTTACCACTTTCCTTTTTCAAATTACTATACACTTTCAAAAATGCATTAGCCCTTATTTTTATCCAATACTTTATGTTTATGTCAAGTAGTTGTTTTGAGGCATTATCACCAAGGCTCTCTCTTGTAAGTTTACACCAGTATGCTTGTATAATTTTATTTTCAACAACTTTCTGAAACATCACATCCAGATAATCGATTTCACTCATTGAGCTAAGCAGATTTACAGTCAAATGTTTCCTTGTCTCAAATTCGATTGGAATTGGATACCGCTTATTGCTGTAGACAGGGTCCTCTACCAATAACTTGAAAGCAGATGTGACATAGTCCTTTACCTTCATCAACATGTCGTCCTCCGTGAACTTTCCTGCTGGGCGATCTATACATAAAAGTAAAAACAATTTCCATTTAAATATTGTAATCCATGGTCTATCACAATAAAAACACAAAACAGACGGACAAGCTGAAAAAAACATGATGCAGCTATTGTCATGGAGGAATTTTATCTGTGTTATACAAAAAAGTTTATATACGTAAAGGTTTTAGATTTCTTATCCATTTGACTTCACAATTTTAACCGATACACCATGGAGGAAACTAAGCTATACTTCTTTAAAATAATATATCAAATGATTTCCATGAACATTTTATATGTGTAGATAATAAACGCATTATGTGTACAATTTACAAAAACAATACTTTACTTACTTATTTTTTTGGTCCGAGATTTGTTAGTCATTTTCTTTTTCCTTGAATCTTTGCCATTGGCAGTCACATCCTTTCACATCAATCTGCTACAACACCACCTTAAATAATGTAAAAAGTAATAGGATTTTGTAAACAATTAATACCATGGGTTATTCAGACTCTAAATTAGAGGATAGGGTTAATCAAAAAAATAATGTATTTATTTCTGTGTGTGAAATCGACATTTGCTGATATATTTATGGCATAACAACTAGCCCACAAAATCATGTGATCGTCGCCGTCGACAAAGCTAGGCCTAGAAACGGCTGTACGCCGTCGCAAATTATTTTTAGGCCTACGATGTTTTAAAATTATTTACCTAGGCCTAGCCCAGAGCTTGGCTAAGCCTAATAATGTATTTGGGCTAGCCTAGACCTAGGTTTGATTTGGGAAATATTAAAAAGTAATTGATTAGTTGTGTATTGGTTGATATCTGTAAGAATTAATAATAGCTAGCCTACAAAGTATGTGAACATCACCATCGACAAAGCTAGGCCTGGGCCTGGCCTAAAAGCCTAGGCCTACACCGTCGCCGCGATCACTTTATGATCCAGCTTGACACCCAACACACGTCACACACTTCCCGTCAACGTAAGAAAAAAAAATAAGTACCATTTTCTTGGTCCTCTGCTGCTTCATCCACTACACTCAATTCTTCTAGAATTTTGTAATCCAAATCGTCTTCTAATTCATATAAATCCATGTTCTAGCATTTAAAAACAGTTAGGGAAATTATATATTATTGTTATCTAGA